CGTGCTCTACCGCTTCCTGCGTGCTTTACAACAGAACAGAGCACAATCGAGGCTTCTTTATTTGTTAATTTTTTTCCAAAACAACTACAGTGTGTACAGTATATGTATATTCATAACCAATACCTTTTTTCCATACTGCTGCTATTCTGCCATATTTGGAGCCAATTTTATTTAGATTTTTCTGAACATTGCTCAAAGTTCCCAAACACTGAAAGAAAAATACCAAAGAATCTATTTTTAGTTGAGCTTTTGAGGATTTGATTAAGAGAAGTTCAACGTATTTAGTGTATTTATTATGAATAGGAAGTAATAGTAATCGGACTGAATGGAGTACAATTCAGCGAGTAATCGGGCAAGTAAGTTCAAAATCGGACAAACTCGTTACGTAGCTTGAGGCCAATTTGAAATTACGAGCATGATTACTCCCTGAATTGTACGACACGAGGTCCAATTACTAATTGATTGTGGCTATATCAAATTTTGGAATTAAAAATGTATTTTGAGAACTTCTTTTGAGCAAAAATGTCTGTAGCTCTTTTCATAAGTTTTGAAAACTGTAGGAAACATTGCAAAGCAAGCCATTAAAGTGTGCATAATTGGTGTGCGAATCACGTGGGTACCCAATTACAGGCATCCAAATTCAAAAGGTTCAAATTAGATACCTGTAATTGGACACCCACATGATCGCTTGCTGATTATGTAGCAAATAGGCGCGCGGAGAACCAATCACGATGGAAAATTTTGTTATAGATATGATTAAATTGGAAATTATGCCCCTGAAAACAATTAAAAGGAGTCAATATAAAGTAAGTTCCATGCACATATCATTAGCTTCTCTCTTGGTACTCTGGGTACTATAAACTTATGTGTCAACTTTCCCAGATTATACGAGTCTCCTGGATACAGGCATATCTGACATATATTTGTGGTTAAATCAGCAGAGCTCTTCTTTTAACAGTGTCTTTTAGCAGTGAGAATTGAAGTGATTTTAATTTTTTTAGGTTGACATCTCTGTATAAATAGCCTATTCTTGAATCTAATACCAGATATGAATACTTCTGGCATTGTTAACTTCTGACAACTGTCAAGAATCATACAAAACTCACAAAACTGTATGATTAACTGAACTTAAGCTTGCATTTGACGTCCTATTAACAATGTATATTGGGTTACGTATAATTTTTCTTACATAATTGTACTGCCAAGTATATATGTATATGTATATGTATATGTATATGTATATGTATATGTATATGTATATGTATATGTATATGTATAT